ACATGTAAACCAGGCGGGTTGTTTTTATCTCTGTGTCACTGACCCCTCTTTTTTCTGTTTCTTTGAAGGCAAATTCAACTTAGACAAAGCCGACGGAGTTAAGGGAAATTTTGGTAGATAAAATACAGGAAACTGCTGCAACTTGGGGGCCCCTGGCTACGTGCTTCCACAGTAGAAAGGCACCTGTTTGTTCTTCCTCTTGACGAAGTGAAACTGAATCAATACCGACTCTTTAGCAGCCTAATATTTTTTATTTGTACTGCATTCTTAACTGTGGTGGTTTTTAATATGAGGAAATTCACGACGCCTGCATCAGCATACATCTTTCTACTCATTTTCAGCTTCGTTGCTGCAAACTTGAATATGAAACGGCGGACCTGTTCTTCCTCTTTTTCAGCACGTTTCAGCTTGTAGCTTTTCCAGCTCGGTGTTTTTTTCTTTCAGTATTCATTTCTTTGTTTTTCTGTGAAGTTTTTCTTTGTCGGTGTTCTTCCCTCGACGCTGCACGATTGCATCCAAGTGATATCGCAACGGCGCACCTTCGGTTTCAGCAGCTTTTCTTAGCTGTACTGAAGCGCCCCCCCCCAATTCAATATAGCATCAGAGTGGGTTGAAGTATACGTGCAGACAGCTGAAATCGTACTAGGGAGTCGACGAACCCAGCACGCAATGAGGTTAGTTAGGAGGGGGGGGGTGCCATAGAGCAGCGTTCCGTGTGTGGGGACGAATATTCCTCAAAATGCAATGGCAGTGAAAAGGGAGCAGTTGATTTTACTCCAGTCAAAGCCACTTGTAGAGTCTTCAGCTGCAGGTGTTAGACGTAGGATTGGTAACTTCAGTTTGCATCAATGCAATGCCAGTCGTCAAATTGCCGTGAAGCGGGCGCTGTTTGCAATTGAGAGAAACATGAAGGAAGGCTACTTCAAAGTCACCAACCACTGCAGTATGAGTAGTATTCGAGGCAGCTGCTCCTGCGGCTGCGTCGTGTCGTTGTGCGCAGCAAGCAGCAAACGCTGCAGCTGCAGCAAGCACTTTTCCTAGAATTAATAGTGCACCATTAGTATTGGTACTGCTGCTGAGATGAACGGACTCTCTGGCAGCTTGACAGGAATCTCAAAAGGCCTTCATACATGTGCGTGTTTCTACGATTCTTTGAATATGCCCTCCAAACAATGCTCTGCTTGCCTGTTTTGTTTTCCAACTAGCCCTTTTTTCATGACTCTTCCTCCGCAGTTTTTTTCAAAATACGCATTCTGGTATCGAACTCCCATGGCATTGTACGAGTTTAGCAGAGCAAATGAATAAACGGCTCTGCAATCGCTTAACCGAGAACTTCAGCAACCACTGGAGGGCTTTATCGCTCCCTTCGCGTTGCAGCGCCCACAAAACAAATTTGGTGCATCGCATAGTTCGTACACTCAGGGAATTTTGCTTCTCACACTCTTCTTTAGTTTGTGCCGTTTTCGAACATTGTTGTGCACGCTGTGATGCGCATTTACTTTTGAAGTCCCCTTCGCGGTTAGTGAAACCAAATATCCCGTATGGATTGCAAATGCCTGAAGAACACAAGCTTGATGTTAGTAGCTCATTCGCTGGCACCGATCGAACAGAACCCACGCTCCTAGACATAGTGCAGAAAGGTGCTTCACTGTGCCACAGCCATAGAAAACTGACACCGCAGAGGTGCTCTGCCACACCAGCAATATTACTGTTCTGACAGTATCACAACAACTACATTATGAGCATTTGCTTAAAAACTTCTATCTTGTGTGCTTGAATCAGACTGGCAGTGATGTGCTGCTTAGCTGTAGTAACTAAAGTCTAAGTGTTAGGATTTACATGAAACCACGGGCGCAGCGAAGCACCGCAACGCACCCTCTTCTCTCACAATGCAGGAGCCTCATCGCATTTATCTCCAGAAGCTGTGCGGAAGAAAATGTCGTTTTTGACGTCTTTAACGAACGTGAGGGAAGAAGGGAGTTTCTCCGTAGGGTGTTTGGGGGATAAGAAGTTCAGGAAAGGAAAGATGAGCAGTGAAGTTTGATGGGAACTAAAGGAGAACGGCCCATGCCAAACCGTAGGGGACCCCCTGAGTTGTTGCTCGTCCAGCGTGGCTTTCGAAGACCCGTCAAAAGCCGAAGCTCTGGCTTGGATGCCAATGCAAACTATTTCTACCATGGTGCCTAGAAGGACGTTGTTGCACTGTCTTCAGAAGCCTGATAATCAACTGCAAATTGTTTTTCTACTGACGGGTGCCGGCTACACTAAACTTCAGGTCCTCCTACGTTTTTCGCATAACCAGAATTGCCGACGGCGGCTTGCATACATATAATGCATATATGTATCATGGTGAAGCCACTATCCTTCCCTCCCTTGGCAGCAGCTCAACGATGAGTGCTGTCAAGTTCCCCAGAAAATAGGAGGCAGCGAATTCAAGCTAGACACCAGAACACCTCTACCCGAGACCAGCATCATCGAAACTCATTCAGGCCTTCACGATAGCCAAGTTACTGGGGCCTAAGGCTGGAAAG